AGCACTTGTAATGGGTGGATGGAACAGTTCCCTTAGTATGGCATTTTTTATTATATTTAAAGTGTAGCTCCAGCCAACACTTTCCACCTCAGGGTGGCGACTTTCTTCAGCCTTACAAGCTGCTCCTCTCCCCTTTCGCTTGTTCCTCCTATGTTGGGCTAGCACAATGCATAATAAGTTGTAGGGAATTTTCTTCGGATGATTTTAGGTTGCCAGGTATGTTTTTGGTAAATACCTCACCATGCTGCAAGTAGCAGCTTTGAAGATACCCTGTCCTGCACCAGGCCTGCCAAGGGGCAGCCTGTGTGCCAAACACACTTGCAACATCCAAAGGAATCCAGAGAAGGTGGAATGTAGACTGTTTTTCTTATTTCACTTGCCTGGTTGCATAGGTAGCTTGCCTTACAGATGAGTGGCTACTATTGGCCATCCTATATATGTATATGTATGTATGTATATATGTATTTTGGTCCTAGTGTTCCACTCCAAAGATGGGGAGGAAATCCTTATTACACTGTGTATGAATCTCGGCCTGGTTATAAGCCTGGAGGTATTTTGGGGAAAAATGACTGGTTTGGAGGTCATTTTGAAAAGCACCATTTTTGAAAAACAACCCTGCAGTGTGCCAAATTTCACTACACTGACCATAACTTCTGAGATTGATCCTTGCTTCTTTCTACCTCTGGTGGTAATCCATGGGGGATTTTCTAATTCATGTGCCATAGCAATTGTTCTGTATCACAGGTCAGACCGTGCAAAGCTCAAAATGAAAAAGCGGATTTGGGGAGAATGCCTCATTTTAGAAAAGAGCTATTGCTAAGATTTAACCGTGTGCTGCTGGTTGCTAAAGCAGGCGGGTGGTTCCCAGTGAAATGGCTTCACTTTTATATTAATCGACAGGGAATAGCCCCCCGTGTAAGCAGCACTTCTCCGGGAAGGCTACAGTTGCAGAATTACGATCCAAGCTTATCTTCTACAGTAGGGCAGGAACCAAAGTATTTCTGCAGGTCCCTTGGTTGCTGATACGCCGAAGACCCTGCACTCCTGTGATGTGCGGCACCGGCAGTGCCTGTGCGAGGGCAGGAGAAGCCACGTTCTCTCCTGGCCATAACGTAGCGCCCAGGTCATCTCAGGCTGAGAACTGGGGCAGCAGAAATGAAGCCCTTGTCGGCCATCCCAGCAGACTGTGGCTTGTTCCGTTTCAGAGACACGGTGCCTGTGCCAGGGCACCACAGCCTCCCCTCACACTGAGCTCAAGCTCCTTCTCTTTTCTATTTGCTCAGAAGTGGTAAGCAAATACAAATACAGAAAAATTCTGTTCACTCCAGAAATTTGACTTCTGAGCAAAGTGAGGCCAGTGCATTTTTGGCCTGACCTTTAAAGCCAAGCAGAGAAAAGGGCAAGTTTCATGCAACCTTTGTCCAGCAAGTGGAAATCTGAAACTCATTTCTTTTGGAGGGAGCTCATGTGCATGAAATAGCATAACCTGACTAAAAAACAGATACAAACGAAAAATGGAAACAGTATTAAAAACATCTGTTTATTAGATTATATAAATTAATGCAACACGGCTGCAATTTTTGCATCCTTTTTACCAGCAGGGAACTTACTTGTCAGAATTTTATTTGAGCCCCACACCTGAGGAGTGCTCAGAGCCACGTCCAGGAGGCTCCTGGCCAGGGCAGACACCCACTTGTTGGGCAGAGGCTACAGGCAGATGTGACCCTGCCGCTGGCCAGGCTGCAGGTTCCTGATCCTCTTTCCCACCATCAGGCCCACTCTTAGTTTTGTTTAACCCCCCACTTGGTGATTTCTCTCCTCCAAGGCTTCGGGATGAGCGTGAGTTCTCTGCGTGCAATAACGCCCAGCAAAGCGCTCTCCTGCCCCGTAGTGCCCGGAGCACCGACCTTGCGCATCCTCTGATCCCGCTGGCCACCGTTGCCATGCGATGGATCATTGTAGAGTAGGGTGCGTGTTGCTGGTCTAAAAGCACAGCTTCTCAGTCCTCTTGGTGATCGTCATCTTGACTACTTGAGCTTGAGGCAACCCTTGCGTGGCAGCGTGGGCCACCTGGCTTAAATTTTGCCTGGTTGGAGCAGAGTTTGGACTCCGGAGCTCTTGCAAGCTGGTGTGAGCATGTTAGCTGAGACATCCAGGCTTTGTGTAAGTTCTGTTTAAAATGCCACTTGTAGTTTTGCGGATGTAGCACTGCTGTTTGCACTACTGCTCATGCACTTTAATGATTGCAGCAACAGGCTTTCATATTTATGCGAGCAGATTTATTATGCAGGGGCTGTTAAAGATAATGTATATTTTTGCCTTTGAAACATAAAGCAGGGTAGACTTTTACAACCTGAGCCGCCAGTCAGCTTTGTAAAACAGCTATTTTGTAACTGTGTGTAAAATAACATTTTGAGCCTGACAAAATAGTATATCTAGGGACAAGACCAGCTGGCTGTGCTGCAAAAAATCAGGTGAGAGATTACAAAAATGTGTCCAACCTCGTGGTCCTCCTTTAGACACGGCTCTCGCTGGAGCAAATGGGAGCTCAGCTTTGTGAGGAGCCACGGGAGTGTGCTTTCTGATGTTGTACAAATGTTACATGATTACAGGGAAGAATGTATGCCTGGGAATAAGATGCTTTAATATTAACATCATTCTTCATTACTTTATAGATGCTGCCCTGTGTAACACAAGAAAGTTTAGTTCCCCTTGAATTAAGGGTGAACCAGTAGCATCCTATTTTTGATGCTCTTTGGAAGCTTTCAACAAAGTGTTACAGAGAAATAGCACAATAGTTGGAGTTGTCCTGTACTATTCATCACATTCACAGAACTCCACAGCTTCATCTGCACTCAACGGGACCGGGGTCCTGAGCAGCTTCTCATAGTCATAAAGGAAGCCATCCTCTGCTCTTTGTTTTTCTTTTTTGCTTTTTTCTTCCCCTATGGAAAGTACGCTATTTTATCATTTTTTACCTGCCGTTTTTCCATGACATCCATCACGTTTCCATCAAGGAAGTACGCCACGGTTTCTTGACACTTTGTTTAGATGCTTGAAGTTTTCTCTACAGGTTGAAGGCTTTATCTACTTACTAGCTGACAACTGTTGAAGTTGTTTGCAAATAAGAGTTGAATTTTGATAAGCCAAAAAAAAGGCTGTATGTCCTGCTTAATTGATTTAATGAATGGATTTTTCTTAAAAATCTACTTCAGCTGGATGAATGTAATGTTCTGTAAGAGCATCATCTGGCTGACTCACATGTGAAGATGCAATAATGCTGAAGATCCTCTTTTTGCACTTAGAGTCTGATTCCAGCCCACTGCAGTCAGGCCCATTGATTTCAGTGCGGTTTGGATCAGGTCAAACTGACAACTCAGGGTTGTCATGAATCACTTTAGGGTCCCAAAGTGTTCCAAGGCTACAACCTGTATCTAGCAAGTGTTGAAGTTTACATTAAATGTATGTACTTTTGGAACATGTGCCATAAATTGAAGTCCATGTTTGCACTAAGGATGTTCCTGATAAGACTGTACTTTTCAACATCTTTACTGATAATGTATCTATTGAATTTTTGAGGAAGAAAAAGACTATTGAACATCCATAATTTAATTTTGTGTTTCTTTGTCTAGCATTGCTTTTGTAGTACATAGGTACAGGTGGTTTGGCTTCTAAGCAGATGTGTGCAAAGAGCATCTGACTGTCGAAAACAGGGTTAACAGTATGCATGCAGTAGTGAATTTGCTCTGTCCCGTCTAATTGAAATGTTTTCTACTCTGGATGAATGGGGGACCTTTATGATCTGACTTTGACTTGTGACCCATGGATTCTTGGTTAGAGTCCTAAGTTGTTACATTAGAACATACTGGAGGGTTTTTTTTGGAGGTGACCATTTTTGCGCAGAGGAATTTTTGAAAGACTTCATGGCTGTTGTGGCCTAGTAGGTTGACTTCAACGCCACCATGCCACTGTGGGCATTTCCCCAGTTGAAGTGGTCAGGACCATGGGTAACCCTCCTACATCGTCAAAAGTGCGACCAGCCGAGTTTGAACTGAGCATCACTGCATGGCCTAGAGCGCTCCCAGTATTGTTCAATCACTGGAAATCATCCCAGAAAGGTTTTAAGTCACTGAATTATATTTCTGTTTGTTTAAAAATTGCTCATGATGCATTTGCTAGGTGGAAAAAATAGGATTCTCTTGTGTTTTTTTGGGGCTGTTTATAGTGGCAACAGTTCTTGTGGTAACAGTACACATTTTGAGGTACAAATGTAAATATTTGTCTCAGACGTAGCACACGTTGCATATTAAAATGATTTTAAACTTTTTTGTCTTCCATGGTTTTAAATCTACGCCTTTATTAATTTATGAGAGGGACTGGTTCTGCAAATCTGAATGTACAGTCTTAAGATTTTTAACATTTGAAACTTTGCACACTCCACATAAGGTAATGTATGCTGTTCAAGTAGGCTCTTCATGTACATGGTATTCTAAATTACAGTGGAGAATTTTCTCTGACTGTAAGTTTAAATGAACTATATTGTATATGTACCTGTAAAAAAAATGTGTTAAATCTATATTTAAAAGATTAAAAAGTTGTTAAATAAATCCCTGCAAGGCTCTGCAATTCTGTCCAAACTGCTCACATGGGAACAGCCCGTGTCCTTCCAAGTGGCTCTGTCGGCGTCACTTGGCCACATGGGGACTTGCTGGCCAGGGCATGCACAAGCCGCGTGCGTGCTCGTCTGCACTGGAGTCTGCGCTTTGGAGACTCACGGGTGCTCTTGGTGGGGCTGATGGGTTAATGAATGCATGCAGATATAATTAGAAAGGCCTTTTATTTTCTTATTGCCTCATTTGCGCTGGATTTGCACCCCCTTAGCGCAAAAATGAGTCCAGTGAGAAGCGTTTATTAAACTGCAATGATTTCTGGAAAGCTGCACGTGCCTCGCTCTGGCTTGGCTACCCAGTCTGTCGGCTGCACAGTTTGGCTTCGCACGCCTACGTGAGCCTCGTGGTGTCCTTGATCCACTTGATGTACTTGGAGACCTTGGTGTAGATGCCGTACTTGCCGGGCTTGGCGCACTCCTCCCCCCAGCTGGTCACGCCGGTGAGGAACCAGGTCCCCTCGAATTCGGTGGCGAAGGGCCCGCCGCTGTCACCCTCGCAGGTGTCCCTGCCACCAGCCGAATAGCCGGCGCAGAACATGTTGAGCTCGATGGTGATGGAGGTGCTCTTGAGGCAGGTGGGCCGGTCCACGAAGGGCACCCTGAGCACCTGGAGGATGATGGACTCGCGGCCGCGGTAGAACAGGCTGCCCCAGCCGCTGACGGTGCCCATGCCGTACTTGAGCAGCTTGGCGGTGAAGTCCCTGCTGCCGAGGCAGATGGGGGTGACGTAGCTGTTGAAGTGGAGTGTTTCCTCCAGCTCCAGCAGCGCGATGTCGTTGTGGTGCTTGTGGAGCGTGGCGTTGTACGTGGGGTGCGGCACGATGCGCACCACCCGCCGCCGCTGCTCCGTGGCGTCCTCAACCCTCGTGTTGTACTCGCCTGCGGAGACACGCGTGGACAGGCTTGTCACATGGGGGTTATCTGACTCCTGCCTGGCCCTGGGTGGCTGTTGCGCTCAGGTCTGCTTTGCCACCTTCTCAGAGGCCTCTAGAAGTTTCCTTGTGCCGCCAGCCCCGCAGGCCCCTCAGCCTTATGTCTCCAACTGTTGCACTTAATGCCACCACCATGGGCCAATTTAAGACCAAGTGCAGCAACGAGCTGGGGAAATGCAGATGCTGCCCTCTAAGAAGACAAATGCAGTGTGAGGACTTGGGCACTTCCACCTTTAGGGAAGACATGGAAATCCTGGGGATTTCACAGTCCCACAGGGACACCAGGGGTAACAGAACCTCAGAAGCGCAGGAGGAAAGGCCCTATCAACAAAGAGCCCAACTTTCCCCATGGCCACCTCATATCTGTACCCTCAGACTCTCCAGGTGGGACAGAGGGATGGTACCAGCAACCTAAGTGCTTCCAAGGCCCTCTCCCTCTGAGTGCTCACAGTGCCCCCAGGTGCTCTCACAACAAGGTTCAGCTGTGCCTGATTCCAGAGTGAGGGGGCAGCTGCCGCCTGTTACCTCCCCTTGCCTTGTGCAACAACAGGTAGAGAGAGAGGGAAATTTACTGAGATCTTGGGGAGCAGCAGTGGGATCTGTGTGTGACCTGAGTCCTCCTTCAAACTTGCCGTGCTGAGGGAGGACTTTTCCTGCGTGCTTTCTCGCGGCCCCAGAAGCACAGGCTGTGTTTAACCCCCGTGGCAGCGTTTCTGCGTGCTTTGCTGTCATCTCCTGAATATACCGACTCTGAGCACCATCTGCAGCGCTGCTGGCCCTAGCAGTGTCCTGCGGCTGCCGGGAGCAGAAGGATCCCGCCGGGAGAGGTGAGGCAGCTCGCTGTGTTTGTGATAATGTTGCCGCCTGGTGCAGGCGGTTTTGGAGCCTGGTGCTGCTGAGTGCTCTGCGAGGGGGGTTTGTAGCCCCCTGTGAACGTTGGCTTCCTTGTGGGCTGTGCTTCTATGGTGTGAATGCAAGACATGGAGGGGAGACCCTGAGAGGGTTTTTATCTTATGCTGCAGCTGCTTGTTTTTGTAAGGGTCCTGGGAATATGCATCTGCAGTGGAAGCAGAGAGGCAAGGAGGACAGGATGGGAGCGCTTCTACTGCCCCCATGATCCATTTGTGGCCTTGCGCTGTCACAAAGCTGGATGTTTTGCCCGAGCACAAAGGAGGGACTTGGATGTTACCGTTGCAATGTGTGTGGTGTGGGTAGGCATTCAGCAGTCCCTGCAAAATCGGTGCTTTGCTTTCCTGGAAACCCAGCTGCACTGCAGAGCAGCGTGGAGGGAGCACCCGCAGCGATAATGTGCCCGAAATGGAGGGGCACACAACAGAGCTCGGAACAAGAGGCAGGTTGCATGCAAATGCAAAACCTCTGGCCAGGTGGAAAGGTGTTTTTCTGGTGTTTTTGCAGGGGAATTGTGTACTTTCTCACAGTTGCAGGCAGAATGCTGGGCTTCATGCTGGGTTTTTGAGCAAAAGCATCTCAAAGCTTGCTGGTGTTTAAACAGAAACCAGGATCGTTTCCTGCCTCTTCTCAGTATTTCTGGGGACTGTAACTGGTCATAGTGGTGTTTCTCCTATGCTATATATTCACACATGGTAGATGCAAATAAGGGAGGATGTTTCTGCCTTAACTGTAAGAAAAACAGCACTGACACACTGGTCAAAACCCTGCACTGAGTTACTAGCAGGCTGTCTGGCAGCAGCCTGAAGCAGCTGGGTACTAAGAGGGGGAAATGCCCATTTTCACTCCAAGATGGGTTTGTTCTGTGAAGTGGCACCATCGCTTGCTGTGTGTGCTGGCCACCCTGGCCCTCTCTGACTTGCCCAAGACCTTGCTGTGAAAGTGCACTTTGCACACACCCACCCGGTCCCTCTACTCGGTTCCATAAATGCTGTTTTCCTCAGAAGTTAAGGGCAGGCGTCTCACTGGACTGTGCTCACCTGCCACGGCGGTCACGTTGTCGCCCGGCTGCAGGCAGTGAGCGGCCGTCACCACCCACCGCTCGTTGATGATGGACCCACCGCAGAAGCCCACGTTGTGGCTGTTCACCAGGTAGACCTGCGGGAGCAGAAGCAAATCTGAGCTGTGCAAATTGGTGGGGAAGAGGAGTGAGGCACAGTGGCTTTAAGGAAGGGTTTTAGAAGATGGATTTCTGCCATAATTCACCCAGTTTGTTCCTTTAATGCAGCAGGGCTTGTTGCTGGCTATCTGCTTTGCACTGTACATGTCTTTCTTGCTAGACACCTTGTTAGACAGCAGAGGTTGAATATTAAATGTGAGTGATCACTATTCATAATGAAGCAAACTAAGCTTGCATACCATAACTGGAGCTTCTCCATGCTTACACATAACGGGATAGCTGGTGCCTATGGGTGCCTTTGTGAAGCGCCCAGTCCTCCTTGTACAGAGGAGAGCGATCTGAGCTGTGCTGGTGTCAGGAAGGCTGGCTTGCTGGGCCGGCTGTCCAAGCAGCGTGCCACAGGATGGCAGCACAGATTGGAAATTGCCGCTGCAGCGGGTTGCTGAGCTGCCAGGCTGCAAAGATGGGATCTATCCTCAAAGGATGCTTAATGCGGGTTGGGGAGGGACCCGAAACCAACACTAGGATGTCCTCAAGGTTTGAAGGCGCTCACAGGCAGATTCAGTCACCTCTACATGGATAGGAGAAGGAAGTACAGAATAAAGAGCTTTTTTTCCTGTGAAAGAGGGGGAGAGAATAAGCAACAGAGATCCTGGGTATGGAGGTACACCGTGGACGTGACAAGACAGTGACATGGCCTACAAAACTCCTGAATGGGATATGAGTCCCACTAGCCACCCCAGACACCAGAGGGGACCTAGCATCCCTCCAGGCCGCTCCATGGCTCACTAGAAGGCTGGTAACCTTCCTTTGCCAGCTGGCAAGAGGACACTAAGACCTTTTGGGAGGTTGCTTGTTATGGTAAAAAGTCTCCAAGAGCCACCTAGCCAGACTTGGAGGGCATGTAGTGTCCACAAATTTCTTTGTGAATTTACTGGCTTCTCATAGAATCATAGAATGCTTAGGGTTGGAAGGGACCTCCAGAGATCATCTAGTCCAACTCCCCTGCACACGCAGGGTCACCTAGAGCACGTGGCACAGGACTGCGTCCAAGTGGGTTTGGAAGATCTCCAGAGAAGGAGACTCCACAACCTCTCTGGGCAGCCTGTTCCAGTGCTCCGTCATACTGGTTCTCCAGAAAGCTCTCCTTTTGAGTGAATTCACAGGGGGTTCCAGTGTGTCTGTGCTTTGTCCCAGGCCTGTGATGAGCAGCAGCGTTTGCAGGTGAGGAGCTAGAAAGCTCTGCTCTCCTACGGTAGTAGTGCTGGCCACCACACACAGGCTTCTGGCAAGCTGCCTGCTGCTGCTTCCTGGTGCCTGTGCATGTCCCCAGCACGATGCTGTGCATCTAGCTCTGAGCATCTCGGTTCCCTGGAGATGGATGACAGCTCCTGACCTTTTAGCATGCAACCCACCCATTGCTTTGCTCCCTCCACAGGCGTAGAAGGACCAGCAAGCCTGTGTGAATGGGCCTTTTAAGTCTGTTTGTGGGCAACAACATTGAGATCATTAATGACTGTCTACCAGAGAGCTTATGAAGGCAACAGATTTGCTATTTTCTAAACCTTAACTTAATTTATTATTTTGTGCTCTCAGATGTTTGAACTTTCTGAACTTGCTGACACCTGAGCAGAATTTAAGCGTGGTAGGCGACTTTGAAGAAGACCCAGGCTAGGAGCTAATTCTTCTTTGTGCCACTCATTAAAGATCATCTGCAGAGCAGTGTGTGGGAGAAGGCTTCTTTGCAGTCCCTCACCTCACTGGTGATGCCACTTCTGGTCAAGACAGTGATAACTGCAACATCACCACTTGAATATGGTGTTGGATAAAGAAAGATCAGCCAGATTTTGTAGATATCGTACAAGGACAGATCCTCTGATGGCATAAATGATCATAGATCTGTTGAAACTGGTGGAGCTTTAGTGATTGTTTCAGCTGAAGATCTAGATTTGTATAAAAATCTTTCCTCAAAAGAGGTGAAAGGGGGAAGGGGAAGGAAAAGCAGGAACCAATTATAAATCCAATGTCATCAGTGCATGGACTGGACAGACAAAGCCAAGGCTCTGTCTCAAACTCGAGGTCCGCTCCTGCAAGTTGTATAACTCGGGCAACTTGGCCATTCCTCCCTTTGGAATAGATTTGATACCTACACGCAAAAGAGGCCAACCCTCTGAATCAGGGCCTTGAATTCAAGCTATATTTCTGATTCTTCCAGAATAACTTGGCCAAAACCTGCTCACTTCCCCTACCTCAGAATTGGGCTTATTCTAGGCAAACCCACGAATTGCTCTTGAATCCTGTTTCCATAAGCTCAGAAGTGGGTCCTTAGTGCCCTGTGACTCTGGCTTCTAGCTTTTTTGCCATGGTGTCCCTCAGCCAGGCAAGTTGTGCTGCTGCAGCATAAAGTCATATACAAAAAGAAACTATCAGACTTGAAACCCATCACTAAACTAACTTCAGAGAGGGAGTTCAAAAAGGTAGAGTAGGATGGTCCTGCATTCAGAAGCAATAACCAAAAGCTGCTCTTAAGGTTACCACAGAGTCGCAGAAGGAGCTGGTACCTGCCAGGGCACCTCGCCTCTCATGCTGTCGGATCCACCAACCACCCGGGTGCCCGTCTTGACTATTGGCACAATTCTCGTGGTGGCAGCTGTGGTGGTTTCAGTGATGTTGTCGAGATCCTCGTCGGAAACATCATCAAGGTCATCGTAGGTTGTGTTCCAGTTCTCTAAGGTGTTTATGGCTCGGGTGAGCTTGCTCTTTGCTTCGGGAGCTGTAATCCTGCCGCAGGGATATGGCACTGGGAGAGAAAAGGTCACATTTACAACTGGCTAGAGGTCATGCCAAGAGTTGCAGTAAATGATGGGGCAGGTGAGGAGACAAATGCTGTCTCTGCACAGTGTCCTGCTCTGGGACTGACATGGGAGACACCGCGGGCCAACTTGCGGGTTCTGCTGGCAAAGGGCTGCCCTGATGGGCACAAATATAACTGAACAGTCCAAGGCTCAAGCTGGGATTGAAGACAACACGCAGGAGCAGCAAGAGCATGAATTGTTCCCATGCTTTATAAATTAATTCTGAATAACTTTGGAGAGAGGCGCACTCGTGAGAGAATGTTTCTGATGGGAATCTGCAGTGGGAATTTTTTATTTAGCCGGATGCTGAGTTGCATGCCTGGAAGGATTGCTGGAGCAGTCAGTGAGGCCTTTTGGCTGACATTTCTACAGCAAATAACTGCAGTACAATAGAAGTCCAGCTAGGAGAGGACAGGAAATAATATCTGCCAATTTAGAAATAATCCTATTGGGCACACAAGTAAGAAAAGCACCAATAAGCTCTATCTAGAGTTGCAGGTTTTCTTGGTTAATGATGATCACATCAATAAGACCACTTTCAATTATCTCTTTCCAACTCTCTCCTACTCAATGTGTGCAGAATTGCTGCTAATAGTGGCAGTCAAAATAGTAAACAGCATTCGGCACTGTCTGTCATCTGAAGAGCTTCCTACAGCACTGTGCAAACAGACATCAGTGTAAAACTAGATACAAGGGTGTCCCACAGAGGTTTCACACTTTTTTAGACAATCTACTCTTGGAGAAATGTTTGAGTAAGTGTTCAGCAAGGGGAAAGTGTTACCTGCAAGGGTAGGTTTTCATAGCCCACAGAAGCTAAACTTATACAGGAAGGGTAATTGCCCAACCTGAAAGGTGACCTGGCTGTGAACAGTGAAGCTTGCTGGTCTAGTGAAACTGTAACAGCATGTTGGGCAGTGCAGGCCTTAGCTCTTAATGATCCACGTTAGCAGAAGGACTTCTAGACTGAAGAAACTTTCTGCAGTGACTGCCGAAGTCAGCACTTTAAGGAGCTCCATGTGTTGCTGGCTGCAGCCCTCAGAACTTCAGAAACCAGCTCACCATAAGCATTAGCTTTGGAGTGCAAATCTGTCCCATCTAGGCATTAGAAGCAGGATAATATCAAATCTTAAACTGCACTTAGAGGATAAAGGCTTTTTTCTCTACTCAATCTCATGCTTTCTCTGCCGAATGTGTTACCGTCAAGTTGCCTGGCTGTGTTGAGTCATTGGAATTATGTGAGCCAGGGTAGTTAGAGCTCATTTGGCATCCAAGGAGTGGATTAAGGTTGGTGATAGAGCAAAAACTTGTTATTTTGACCATTTGAACCTGCAACCTGAAACAATCCACTTTCCCTCTGCCCCTTTACTCTGTCTTTCCATCTTGCTGCTTCAAACCACATCCAAACCATAAATTTTAATTCCTCTTGAGGGTCTTTGGGTGCATCTACACCATGATGGAACACCAACATCACCTCAGGTTTAACTCATCTGCACCAAAGTCAAGTAATTTTAGGATATTGCATGATGCCCAGCAATGAGATGCACCGGCAGCAGGATTTCATGGGAAGAAAGATCCTCTGCTCCTGAAAAAGCCCAGATGAAGGTTGCTGCCTTAAACAGTGGCTCTTACTGGAAGAACTTGGGAGTGAGCTCCGGCTGGATGTGCACTGGGATGTGTGGTGACACAGCCGAGCACCAAGCTACTCTCCAGCTACTGGCTCCTACCTGGAATTGTGGAATGGCTCTGAATGGGAGAGGAGCCTGTGTGAGTAGCCATCTGAAAGGAGCAGATTCCTTGTGCACAGATTCCCGAACACATAAGCTCCTTCTCCACCTACGTAAGCTTAAAAAAAAATGGTGCTTAGTTTGCATCCTTCATGTGTGACCCCACATCTGCCGTTGGGAAGCTGCAGCGTCAGGCCTTTTACACTTGCTAAGCATGACAGCAAGGCTGGCTTCCAAGGGGATATTGCATTTCTGGGAGATGCATTTATCTAAATCCAGGAGAAGATTTTTGGAAGCTTTGTACCAAATCTCTTAGAAAAACTGTCAATCTAACCTGCAGGTTCACAGGACTTTCCGTCTTCATGAAGTTTATAGCCAGCAGCGCAGGAACAAACAACTTTGTGCGGTGGGTCGTGCCTGCAGAAGTGCTTGCAGCCTCCATTCTTAATTGAACAAGTGAAGTCTGAAAGAAATAGAAATGAAACCATAAATACTCTTGGAAATGCAACCGATTCAGCATATAACCTGCTCCAGTTGCTCCAAACTACAGAAAACGGCATTGCTTGTTTGCAGTGTGTCCTCCTTTCCGCTCGTACCCGTGCTCATAACGAAGGAGCACTAGAAGTCTGTTTGAGAAGACAGGTGCGATCAGGGCTGCTCAGCGCTGCAGAGCTCTCCGAAATTTGGCAGCTCGACCCTAAAGGATTGCTGCAAATATTTGGTTACGAGCCGCGTGATTTCCCCACCGCTGCTCCCCTCCTCCCGCTGTGCGGCCTGAAATCCAGCCCAGGTGGCCAGATGCTGGCAGAGAGCTCTGCTTTCCAAAGAGGAGCAACCCCGCAACCCAAGGAAACATTTAGTCTCGGGATTATCGCTGGGCTTCAAACTTAAAACCTCAGGCAAAACCATGTGCTCTTGTGGCACACCAATAAATCACAGCATGTACGTGACATGCTTATTTCAGCATGACTTTTGATAAAGCAGGTTCTGCTGTTTGTAGTGAAACCTGAGGTGCTCCAAGATCCCCGTTTTTGTCACGACTTCCTTCTCCTGCCCCATCTCGTACCCCTCTTTATGGGAACACCATCTCTTGCACTTGGAAAACCGCTAATCCACTGACGCCCTTTTAATTCTCAGTGATTTTTTTTTTTCCAAATAACTACACGGTAGATTAACTCCACTCCCACTTCCTCAAAGACACCTCCCTTCCTGTAGCCATTTTAATGCCATCATTTACTATTTTTATAGAGATCCTTTTCACGCCTCACTTCTGGTGCTATTTTTGCTCCTGTCTCACTTCCATGAGAAATCTGCAATGAGACTATTTAAATTTGATGCAGCTTTGAAATGCTCTTTTTAACGTATGCTCCTCTCTTGCCAGAGCAGAAACCCAACTAGAAAGAGAATCTTTGATTAGTGCAGAGAGTCTAGCACATTATGCAAGTTGCACAGCCCCTGATTATATTATAAATACAGGAGCTGAATATCCCTCTTACTTAAATTATCAACTGTTTGGTTTGCAGAAGCTCCTTGGCCTGTCAGGAAAATATTTGCCTTTTGTTTGCTTTAGAAGCAGGCTTGCTGGTGGTAATAACAAATCTGGATTAAAGCGAGCGCTGTTGCAAGGAGGTCTCCCGAGCTCTGCCCTGCTCTGCACTGCTAGTTTGGTGTGAGAAGGAGAAGCTGTAGGGACTAAAGGAGAAGCCCTTGAGGCAGAGTCTCTGGTGAACGGAGCAGGCACCTTGGTGCTCATCTGAGGGGCAGCTGGGGTTCTCTAGAGGGCAAGAGAGTATGGAGGTGTCACCTTGTGTTGCCCCAAGCATGGGCCCTGCGGTCCCACTGCCCATGGACTGTGTTTGCATACTCACACCGTGCTTCACAGCACGGCAAAGCGGGTCTGAAACAACTCTTGAGTAGAATGGAACTATTTATGCCTGCTTTGGGGTTTCCAGCGGGGCAGAGCGAGCCCCTGGTACGTACCAATCTCGCAGTTCCTGCCTTCGTACCCAGCTGGGCACCAGCACACGTAGGAGCCTACTCCATCCTTGCAAATGGCTCCGTTCTTGCATGGATTGGGATCGCACTGATCTCCATCTTGGGGGGAAGACAAGAGATTTAACAAGCAGCAACATCCCCTGCAACTGATGCCCACCAAGCACTGGAGCCTTGCTTGGTGCAAGCCTCTGGTTAAGGATGAGTGAGAGACAGGAAGCCTTCCCTTCCTTGCGATTAAAAAATAAGTCAGATCATGGCACACAACTGCAATGTTGTGGCCAAGCTATATACCCTGCCCTGCAGGGGTTAATTCTTCCCATTTCAGCAAAACCCCTCTAAAACCTCCCTGTCATGACTTTTGAACAGGATCCTGTGTCTTGACTAACTTAAACAGCTGAACTGGGAAGGTTTATTTCCTCAAGAATAGCTATGATTTCCTAATCTGAATTACTTTAACACTCTGGTCATTGTTCTCTGAAGATAGGGGCCTGTCCATGGGGTCTGGAGACCCTCAGGGTATCAGGATCATGAACCTCAGTCATTGCTCTGTCTTCTTTCAAAATTTTTTACTATTATGTAGTCTAGATTTTTCTTTATATAGCAGGACTTTATTTTTCATAGATATCTGTGCTTCAGAAGCACAGGGCCTTAATAAAATTGTCCAGCACTGCAAACTTGGTGATCTGGTACTTCAGGACTGTAAGTCAGTGATGTTAAATTGCAGGGAAGTGAGATTTGAATGGGCAACACAAAGACAAGGAAGGAGACGGGATGTCACGAGGTGTTTGCATCTCAGCAGTAAATGTGACTGCTGATGATGCATCGAGTTACAAGTGGGAACGTAAAGAGCAGCTTGCAAACGGGGACAAAGTGATTCTGTCTCGTTCAAGGCAAAGTGTTTGCGTGTGGAATTTGAGTTGCTGGTGCCTGGTGAGGGCCGTTGCAGCCCTGCGCCTGCTGCGCAGGTCAGGGCAAAGCTCTGCGAGAGGGGAGCTCCTCTCGGCCTCACGGGTGGGAAGGAGCCGCTTGTGAGACGAGCAGTGAAGGGGCACTGGGGACGGTGGGGAAATATGTGGCATTCCCTTATTTTTCGAAGGGCCGATTCGTTACAATTAGAGGGGAGCAAATGAAGTGCTGAATTTCATTGGCTGTTTTTTTAGAGGACAGTCCTGAAATGCAAATATAATTTTTTATTATTATTTTTTAATAGTCTGGACTGACTAATCTGAATTATTTAACACATTTTAGTGAGATGTTCTGGGCACTTTGCCAAACTTTAAAGCCATTCATTTGCCAAAATGTCCTTAAAATTACTTTCAGATGTTTTAGTGGGCATCAAAATCTCTTTTGGGAGGAACTGAGGAGTAGTCAGGAATTAAGGCTGGTGGGGCAAGGAATAGATAGTGGAAGAAAAATGGGACAGATTCAAGTATTTGGGATCACTGGTGGGAACTGCAAACAGCTGTTTGCCATGGTCTGTGGCAGCTGAACTCATGGGGTGACCTGTCGGACCCTGTGGTCACTGTGGGCTGGGTTTGTTCTCTGTGGGTTTTGCAGTCTGCTCAAGAAAACTTTGGAAAGAAAATGATGAGCAAATGCAGGTTTGTTTTTTAACCTAGGATTTCGCACAAGCAGGGTGGGTCCAGGTTGGGTGGCTGCAGTTTTCCGGCTACCTAACGCTGATGAGCTCTGTCATAAAACATTTTCTGAATGCTGGGACACGTTTGTTTCTCTAAACGCCCGCTACTTGTGCAGCAAGAGATGAACATCAGGCATTGGAACATAAAGAAGGCAGCTCTTACCAATGTACATCTTCCAAAACTCCATCTGCAAAGCAAGAAAGACGGTTCCATTAATCTCTCATTTCTGAGCACCTAGAAATCCCAGGGGAGACCCACAAATCCGCAAGGCGGGTGCCCAGCCCTGCGTGGGTCACGATGGAGACTCGAGCGAGCAGCGAGGCCGTGCCTGGCTCTGTGCGGAGCCTCTCGCCGTCTGCTTCCTGTGTCACCTCAGCAAGGCCTTTCCTGGGTAGGACCCCGTGTTCGTCACCCTGCAGCCACTATACTCACCGTTTTCTCTGTGTTTTCAAAGACTTCTCGCGCTTCCTCGTAACTGCATTTCTCCTCTATACATTCTCTCTCAAGGTTCCCGGCAATGACCTCTTCCAGGCGGTTGGAATTGGCCCGCCTCTGCCGCTGCAGGATGGCGCTTGCTTCCCTGTTCTCCAAGAACACTGCAATTGGAGAGGCATCAGAGCTGGAGAGGGATCCCCCTCTCCTATGCAGCAACCCCACTTTGTGCGATGGCTGGGGGTGTTTCCAGAGTCTTCTCCTCTGCTTAAGCTTTCTTTGGTGCCCCATTTAAGGGCAAACCAGAGGATGAAATCTGGAGAACCTGGAGTCAAAGCGTTGACCCAACTGGCAGAGGGTTGGAGCTGTCACCAGAGGGACCCAGGCTCAGGGCAGGTGTCCCCTCAGCCACCAGCCTGCCTTTTTCCCCTTGCCCACTCTACATCAAGCCCTATCTAAAGTTTACCAGTTCTGTGTCCCACAGGACAAGCTGTGCCTGCACCAAGGGGAAATGTGTCCTGTTGGATCCTGCAGGGTTTGTTTGTGTCCCACCTCTCCAAGACATCTGCCACCACTGCGCGTAGGTTCCCTGTCTCCCCCCAGGCAGCTATGTCTCCATTCTTAAAAACCATGTTATTCACCCAGAGGAACATCTGTCTTTGCCTTCCCGGCCTCTCCACCCTCCTTAAGTGTCTGTGTCTCATTTTGTCACCGGGCGGCCTGGTGGAGCAGCAGGGCCTGGAGCTGCTGCGGTCACCAGGAAGCTGCTGCCCCTGCTCAGGCCTTGGGATGCCTGGGGTTGTCCTGGGAGGCCTGAGCTCGTCCTCTGTGAGGGTGAGAGAGGCTGCCTGTGAGCACAGGGGGCACTTGAGAGGCAGCACTGGCTCCTGCTTTCCGTGCTCGCCTTGTGCTCTGCTGTGACCCTGTCCAAACGCCTTAGGAGTAGGGGAGGACAGGCCCAGCTAAACCCGAATGAACCCAACCAGCACTGCTATGATTTGTACCATGTTGTTGAGCATGGTCAGTCTCTTTACTAGAGCTCTGTCTGCCAGAGACTATGCTGATTATTTTTACAGTGATCTGTGTCCGCATTGAACAAGGTTATACCTCCGCCTTCCTCCTGCTCATGCATCTTCAGTTAGAAGAAGTGAGTGCCTTAAAATCTGGACCTTAATCTAATCGTGTGGCAGTTGGTATTTGTGGCTAAAGAACGGACTCCCAGGGAGGCTGGTCTTGTTTGAAACACCCCAGCCCTGCCAGGGGAGCGGGTGTCCTCAGTCTGCCCGGTGATGCTTAGGTGCGCGAGGAAGGGCCTCCCATCCTGCAGCCCCAGCTCGGGCACACCGAGCTCCAGGGGAGCAATGGGGCAGCCGTGGGTGCTGCTCTGCTCTCCTGGGCTCTTGGGGAGCTGGACACGGGTACCGGGCGCGCGCGAATGGGCAAAGCATGGCCCAGCAGCAGCAACTGCCTTTAGACCCTCCTGCCTTCATCTAGCGCCAGGCGCAGGGTGCCACCAGGGTTTGATCTCCTCACTGTCACCTTCATTAGGCAGGGCGGGCATCCCTAATAGTTACTTTATCCCCTCCTGGTGGGATGTGCCAGGCACGTGGCACAATTAACCTATTAACTAGAGGGACTGCAGTTTGGCAAAGCAGTTTTACCTCCAGCTGGAGGGGCTCTTGGAGGCCCAGCTGCGTCCTGATCCAGCGTGCTGCTTTATGAGCAAAGCCGCATTTGAACTGAAGGTTGATGGCCTCACAAGGTAAGGGACATTGGATTCACCTCGGTGCAAACTGTTTAAACCCCAAGCAGATGCTCGTTTGCAACCCACCAACTTCTAAACCTGTATCTAGGAGTAAAAGAGATGGGTCTGAATCCAGGCTGGGAGGGGAAAGCTGCCTGCCAGTCAAACACAGTGTTTTCTCGGATGCAGTCCTAAGTGGATGGTGGCACTAATATATTTTAGGCTCTGCTCATTTCTCATTGCTCAGCAAACTCTTCAGAAATATTTTTCTGTTTTACTTGTTACTTGTAGTGTTTTAGTGAAAGGGAAAAGGCCAGCATGGAACAAAACGAGTGCTCACAGAGGGTTTGAACCAGCCTCTGTTGGAACTGTTGCGGCTATAGATAAACCAGGCAAAGGCTGCATTACTATGTGTGATTGCCCCCATCCAGGAACTGCTCTATCTTGTCTACGATTCTGGCTGCATTTTACAATATTTGTTAAATTCATGCTGAGTTTGGCTTTAAACAGTTCTCAGGGAGGCAAATCCAATGACCATTTCATGGATCCGAGTACTTCTCTGTGTTCCAGAATGGTGTGGAGCAGCATGGGAAGGGGTATGGAGGTTGCTCCCCAGGACACTTTCCCTGCTCTTGCTTTGGTGTGGGTGAGTGCTTGTTCTAAAACGGCTGAATCAAGCTCTGAAACCTTAAAAGCTCTACAAATTCAAGAAAAAAAACCCACATTCTTAAGAATTAACCCCTGGGACACTTTCTGTGTAAGATCACCATAAATCTGTTATTTTACTCCCAGGAAAATTCCCAGAGTTTTAGCAGGAGAAGCTATGAAATGCAGCAGTGCTACTCGGGGCTCAGGTCGCGGCGCGACCGTTCCCCGTGTCGAGTGACGAGCCACCCCTTTTCCTGTGACGATAACCCCCGCCCCCAAGGACTTCCTAGGTTTTAAATGAACCCACCTGCACTTTGGACACCAAGAAAAGCTCCCAGAAGATAAACGGAGAACGTGAGAGGGATTTTTGCCATCTTCTTCTCGCTGCCTTAACCTCTTGCTGGTGAATTGTTCAAGTGGTGGAGCTCAGTCGATAGTTCCAAAGTGCAAGCGCTTGTTTATTTACCCTGGGTAACCCTTTAATTTAAGGTCCCCAGATGCACCATTGCTGAGGCTTGAAGTGGCAGAACAGCAGTTAGTTACGGGGCCACGTTCCTGTTCAAGACTCCCTTGGGCAGATGCAGCCCTTGGGGTCCTTGTTTCTCATTCGGGATGTTACTGCTGTACTCAGGAGATTGAGCCTGGCACAAGAATAAATGAATCTAGCTTCAGCGAACTCTGTCAAAGCACTGGATTTCTCATTCCTGTCCAGGTGATGCTACTGGCTCTATAAAAGTCATGGTAATGTTTTCACAGGCTTTGGCATGTCCTGGTTTTCATCTCAGGCCAGCAGGGTTGGGTTCAGTCCAAGAAGACCCTCTGGGTGACACACGCAGACCTCCAATAGGACTGCAGCAAGGGCACTGCACCACCTCACTCAAGGTACCAAGTTAAAATCTAGGTGAAGTGCTGGTTAAGAGAACACCAGCAGAGAGATGTTGGCTGATGTTTGGTTATGATGACTTGCTAAAACCTGCACTAGTTCCCAGCAAAGCAAGATGGATGTTCTGCTCTTGTCAATGCAGCAAGATGGATATTCTGCTCTTGTCAATGCTACAGAATCCCCCAGCGCGTTTCACATTGCCGGGAGTGCTCGCAAACAGGCTAACTCCATTTGGTGAGAAATTGGGTTTGTAGTCTACTGGATGTGCCTGTGTCTTGCAGACTGCAGAGCTATTAGTTGCTATGAGGTTACAGTAGCCCTCGGGTAGTTGTTAAAGTGTTTACTTGAGCTTATGAACCATAAATTCTGTGCACTCAGTCCAAAAAATTAAAAATGCTCCTTCGTGCAGCAAATGAGAGAGACATTTATAGTTGCATGGGTATTTGGAGTTACTTTTGTATGCAGAAAAGAACAATCGTCTGCAGGTATTGAGAGGTGCTGAATTTGAGTTACAGCCTTGTGAGAACTGGGTTGCCTGGATGAAAAAGATCCTCTATTTTCCTTTTCTTGAGCAAACAAAAGGTCCTAAAACCTATAATTCATCTTGTTTCTCCTTGCTCCATTTGAAATGATCTTTATTCATCACTGACAGTACCTTTTGTTATCAAATTTGTGTGGTAGATAAATGAGTTAGGATGAGGTAATGTGCTGTTGACGTAAACTGAATGCAAAGGGAAGAAGGTAATGATCATCTGTCATTTTCTGTGCATACGAACATGCAAATGTGGGAAAACAAATTGGGCCAAAATGCTGAAACAATAGATCTCCTATCAAAAAGGACTGTGCAGAATGGCCTGCCATAACAAAGGACAATTAGAGTCTTCTTCCTGTAAATATTTTATTTTAGGACGCAAGTCAGAAATTATTCTTGCTTTATGGTGCATGGTACTTGTAATAGTATTTGCAACACTATAGTTAATTAATCTTCACACAAAATCACAACATCAGTAGAATAAACAGGGTCATTAATAGAGATAATTCCTTGTCTTGCTACTGTTGATGTCAACTTCTGGGCACTAAATTGTACGCAATGTGTTTCTTTCATTTATTTTACAAGCAAAGTCCCCAGAATGATGTTCTCCACAATGGAGGCCATGGAGCTGAAAGCTTTGGTGTTTTGGTGGGTGACATAGTGAAGTATTTGATCTGGGTTTATTCTGATTTGTGTTCCATGCTCTCACAAGAAGGCTAAAATACAGAGCTAAGACATTTTCCTTCCTATTCAAGGTCTCTGTTTAGCAGTGAGTTGTAAGGAGATATCTCTTCTAGTCTGAGGTTTTAGATTTGGGGATTATGTTGAAATTTCTTGTTTTCTCATTTGAACAGAATGATTTTGGGTATGTGCTTGTTTCAAAGATGGAACTGTGTCAAAATGGTCATTTCTGGATTGGAAAAATCAGGCTTTCACATCAAACCCATTGCTTGTTGCCAGTGACCAGAGCCTGGCACACATACAGAGCTCTGTCAAATACTATTAAAGCTGAAGTTGCTTTAAAATATTTCAGTGTTGCCCAAGTAGCGTATTTTGATGAAAAATGTATGTAGCCCAAAGGATCCCTCCCAGGACACTCAGGTCCGCAGGCATGTGCAATCTGTCCCTGGCTCCAGCAGAGCTCCCGGTTAACGTCTCTGTTCCAAGCCCTCCTGCTGCTTTCCCAGGCTCGCAAGGACGTCACCAAGGAGCCTACGGATACTGGAAACTAGGCTGAGCTGAACTGCACGGCTCTTCTCTTCCTTTTTGGATTTCAGTGGCTCATTTGCCGTCAATCTTGTGATCTTTGGCATCCATGGTTGGCGAAGAAAGGTCAAAATCTTTCTTAGAAGGAAGGAAATGGGAACTTCCTGACTTGAAGAGCTACCTACCAAAAAACTTAATCCGATGAAATTCTTCATCCTACTTGGTCTTCTCCAATGTCAGCTAAAGAAAATGGGTCTGATTTCCAGTTAGTAAGTCCCAGGAGTTACTTCTGGGTCGTGTTGCTCAGTGAGAGCAGAGCAGGGAGCATGAGGGGAATTCATCAATCCAGTTGGGAATAGGACATGTTTGCTACTTCGAGTCAGGTGCAAGCGTGGAATAATTAGCTGTATTTCAAATTCTTGCTTGAAATAAGTTTGCAGAGATATTAGCAAAGGCAGGTTTAGGGCTGGTGTGTTGCTCTGGGTGATGCATTCCCAGCTCTGAGGTGCAGGAGTGGGAAGGGTGCTGGGCATAGCAAAGCGAAGTGACTTTTATGAGCAGTCAAAATGAGAAAACTATTTCTGCTTTAATCTCATAGATTTCTTTAAAATGTATTCTGTCTGTACTGATCAATACTGTTAAACACCCTGATGGCCTGAGGATCTTGTTAAAAGAATTGTTCATAATCTCTGTTTTCTGCAAATGCATCCTTTCAAGCAAAAAATCCCAGCTCGGACCTTAAGCAAATTGCAATTTGCCTTTGCCCCCCAGACAGCTATGGTAAATAATCTTTCCTTAACCAACAGCAAACAAGCTATTTCTGAAAAGCAGTGAAAATAATGCTTGATCTTTGTTTTCTCTCCTTCTTTATTTGATTACTTTGAAGTCCATGTTTTTTTCTGGAGTGGTGACTGTGGGAAGTTATCCAAACAGGGAGGCCTTTGCAGTGCCTGTCATTCTCTTGCAGCGATTAACATACCACAGAAAGCACCTGCTCAGTAAAAATACAAAAGGATGACAAGGATGTATTTAAAGTGGATGGCCTTAGTGATCCATCCTAAGTGAAGATATGCCTTCATGTTTTGTAAATTAAAATTGATGCCTGTAGACAGTGCAGAGCTCTCAGGTTTTTGTTGCTTGTTTGTTTTTGCCTTTTTTTATTTTTTTTCCAGTTGTGCAAAGGAAGAAACACAGTAAAGTGTAATTTTGTCCTCCAAAAGGCACGAAGTAGTGATCTGCAGTGCACAGTTTGTCCCGGCTCCTGGGTGAACCAGGGTCGCTTTCACCAGGGCGCTGCAGGAGCCTCATCCCGAAGCTGCTGTTCCAGCTGGTGGGAACACAGGCACCGGGAGACACTCTCAGTAATTTCCATTGGGGCTGGAAGCATAGTCAGGCAAGAGGAGAATGTTTCCAGAGATTGCACCAAGAAACACGCTCCCATTGCTGAATTCCCTTAAGACACATCCACCGCGGTTAGTGCATAGGCTCTGTCCCACCCATCGTGTTCAGGTTTTAATTAGACTCCTAAACAGGAGCATCGAGCAAACTTTGCTTTCATCTGGGAGATCCTGTGGCTGCAGAATATTTACAGGAAGTAAATAACTGTCAGAAAGTAAATAAGCCTGTGTCTACATGAGTGTAAAAATGCTTTGAAATAGTCTCATTCAAAGAAAAACCCCTCACTTTGAGTGACAGTAAGAACCAGCAAAACAGGCAAAAGATTCCCAATGTAGAAGGTAAACAGAATTACTAATTCATGGGGCAGCATGCTGCACAGTCACAGCTTTTAATATCTTTCTTTTTGGTTTGATTTTAAATAGGCAATATTAAAAGGAAATAAGGATTTGGTTTGGTCATTGTCTTTTCAGAATATTGCATGCAAGCCAGTTAGATGTATTTTGCTATTGAAGTCGTCCCAAATTCAGGCTTTGCATCTTCATTTCTAGCCCATGATAAAGCTCATTTCAAGCTCTGATAAGGAAGCAGCTCTTGCAGCGTTTGATGACTCGGGTAGATCACCAAGCTGAAACACCACCAAACAGAGCAAGAGCTAAATTAAATACAAACTCAGAAGTTGGCCTGGCACGAGACAACATCCTGCCATTTCATGGGCCAGCCTCGTGTATAGGGAAGAGGCTCTCTCTGCCCCAGGCTCACTGCCTTGAAACAGATCTCTGGAAGGTAGTTCTCTCTGCTCGCGTAAACCCATCACTTCCATCTGCTGCCGTTATTTGTAGCGCAGTGTCCTCGAGAAACGCTCCTGGACCAGGACTCTGTTAATAGAGAGGTTCACCTCAGCCAACAGCACCTGGTTGGCAGATGGAGCTCTCTTGCCCCTTCACCTGGGGGAAAAGCATCAGCCCCTGCTGCCCTGGTGCCCTTGCTGCATGAGGGAGGTGCATCTCCCTCTGGACAGAAGAGGAGCCGTGACTGACAGCTTGCTCTACGTGCCAACCTTCATTTCTGAATACTTAAAAATGTTGCAAGACAATTCTCAGCCAGCACAACCAAACCCACCATAGTCAAAGCTCTTGTGTTTAATGCCATGTTGTTAAAGTGATAACACCAATTGTTCCTTTTGCCCATTTTCTATGTCCGTTTTTGACACTATGTCCTTATCCATTTTCTGTGCCTTACCCGTTTTACATGCCCATGTTCCTATCTTTTTCCCTGTACCAGGGCATCCTTCTGTTCTCACCCTCCCTTTCCTTCTTCCTATCATCATCATTATTTACCTTCCTTCCCATTAGGAACCAAGCTGTCTGTGGCGTTGATATTAAAATCTAAGGAGAGGTTATGCA